TCAGTAAAGATTGATGGTGGCAATGATCTCGTTTTCTTTAGACATGTGTGACACATACATTTGCATCTGAACTACTTGTCCAGGCTCACTTAAGCCAGTGAAGAGTTAACGGGCACTTCTTTACCACTAGAAAGCAAATTGTGTGGAGTTAGAGGGGTGAAGTATGGCTGAACCTTCAGGGGCAAGTGTTGAAAGAACAGATGTCTGTAGTAGATCAGCAGACTCCTCTCCACCAGCATGCACAGTTGGTGCATGTTTATCATTAAAAATGCCTCCCTCCTCCCATGCAGACAGTCCATATACCTAGGACTGAGGGCTTAAAGCTTTTGCAAATTTGTCCCTTGCATGGTAAGAGTTCTTACAGTGTTGTGCTGAGGAGAGCACAGAGGGATTGGAGGAGCAAGAAAGCCTACAGCTTCTTCCTTTTTTCAGATTGAACAACTTAGGTAAACAAAGAGTAAAGTGGTGCACACATCAGATGCAAGACTGCAGTATGTATTCATAAGTAAAAGTTAAACAAATACAGTATTCAATAATGTAATTTTGTTGGCCTATTAGTAAACTTTAGTGCTAATGTGGAGACAGAAGGCTATTCACCAGGTGTCTGCAGATAATCTAAACATCATGTGCTAGTTTATGAGTACACACTTTCATGCCTTCTCAGAAAGAGAGCATTTTTATAAGCAGCTAAACTACTTCAGCTTGTACACCTAGAAACATTCCAGTGTAGAGGAGATGAGAAGCAAACAGGAAAAGGAGAGGCATCCCTGTGTGATTGCTGTTGTGGAGGAGAACACAGATTAATCCCTTCGTAGTACCCTAGCATTTTGGGCTATCTCTTGTAGACAGTTACACTGATTTGATGGTATTCACTACTAACTTTCTACTTGAATACCACTTTGTTTTATTTTGGGTTTGTTTTTATTTTGCTTTCCTAGTGAGAGTGAAGCAAGAGAAAAGCCATAAACCAGTGTGGGGCAGCTCTTGAGATAAGTGTTTGTGAGCTATTTGCAAAGGCAAAACTGCTTGCCCTCTTTTGGAAGACACAGCCCATCACCTTCTGCATGGTGTTCTGCTGAGGGCATAGGTGGCTTTGCATTTTTAGGGTAAGGCAAAGGATTGACTAAATACTACTGATTTAAGGTGAGAGGGAGCTTTTTTTCCTTGTCTTTTTTTGTTGTTCCCAGGATCTGCCCCTTGTAGCCATAAATAAGAGGATGAGTTTGGCTGCATCACGCACAGTTTCGCCAGAAATAGCATCCAAGGCTGCATAAAAACTAGGAACAGGATTCTTTGACTCTGAAGCATTGCTGTGAGAAGGACATCACAAGTGTTGATTGACAATGTTTTTTTTAATTTCCAGTGGAACTTGCACCAGAATAAAATTTGTTTGTGGATCTCTTAGCCAGATGGCAAGTGAGGTTCCAGTTATAATCTGATAACAAGTAATTAAGTTAAAAATGCATATGCTAAATTAGAGAAGTTGCGCAGAATCTAGAAGAGACACAGATTAGAGTCAGGCAAAAGATAAAAGCATAATCTAAAACAGTAGGTGCAAGGAGTAAATGGAGGACTCTGAGTCAACTATTTCACTTAAAGGGTAACTAGCATATGGAACAAGTTACCCAAAAAGGCTGTTGACATAAAGAGTAGAAATGAATTCCAGACACACCTCCTTCTCTATGAATGGAGAAAGTAGAGACACATGAGGGGAAAAAAAACAAACAGGGAAGTGTGGTGGAGATCAAACAGACAGGCAGGTGTGTTAGGCTAGAGGTAGATCTTTCTCCAGATCATAAAATTCCTTCATCTGGTGGATTGTCGGGATATCGCCATTCAGGCCCTAGAGAATATTTGTCTTTCCCAGTAGCATTGTAGTTTCATGGAGTGGCAAAGCTTCAATTCACACTCTGGGTTTTTGTAGGCATTCTCCTTGCCTTAGGGTCTGTGCCTGTCTCAAACTGTAAAACCATTTTTATGCAGAAGCCTGTTGAGCTGCACTGTTGCCCTGAGCCTGATCCAGCCAGGAGTGTCCTTCCTTCTCTCCATTGCTTACATCATTGTCATTGGTGAAACTTTTTTTTTTTTCCCTTCTGTCAAGAAAGCTTGAGTACTGAATTCATGTTTGCCATTTTCCTTAGTGTGTTTAGCACAGACAAGGCACAGTTCAAGAATGGATTATGTAGAAATTGTTCAGAATTTTCTTTCATCTTGATTGAGGCCATTTGCCTTCAGATGAAAATGTCACTGACTTAATAGCACAGTGAAAAAAAAAAGCGAAGATTTTCTGTCATAGCTAATGAGAAATTTTTATGTTACTGTCTTTCAGAAGACTTAATATTCAAGATGGGAAAAGCTATGACTTTTCAGAGAAACTATGAGAAGTGATATTTCAGCTCTTTTTTTCTTTTTACTTCTGACATTGAGAATCTCAATGAATTGTGTATCAGTTATTTGAAAGTCCTGAATAGTTTTAAGTTTACAAAAGCAGAGGAAAAAAGGCAACTAAGATAGGTAGGAGCAAATCAGTAGTGATGTTGTAATGAAATGATGTGTCTTTTTGCTAGGCTGGCTAGTGACACGCATTTCATTACTACAGCATTACTTACAGCAAAAATAATGCTGAAAGCAAATGCATTAGCAACTATTTATTTTCTTTAACTCTGAGTACTAAAGTAAATAAAATGTATTAGTGTGTTTTATGGTCTTGTTTTAAGTTCCAGGGACTACATGTGAGTTCAGAGGGTTGAAGAGAGGCTTCTTTGTTCCCCATAGAACAAATTTATTTTAAAAAACAACCACCCCCCCAAAAAACCAACCAAACCCAAGAAACTGAGAGGAGAAGAGTTATCTGGATAACATTGGGTCCTTCCTCTTTGGCTGAAACTCTTGCGTTGAAGTGATTTCCTTCACACAAGCTCTTGGGGCTGCTCAGGTGAAGTAATGGATCTGTTAACAGTCCACATCAAGTGAGGATCTGATCCTTCCTATTTATGCTATTGTCAGTACCTTGTTCAGTACTTGAGCAGAAATGTAGGTGTTCTGGAAGATTCCCAAAACCTCAGTGATGCATTCATATAAGTGAAATCATAATTGGAGGAAAAGGATTTGCAGCGTGCTGGTGAGGAGTGAATTGACAATGGTTATTAAATAAGTACAGGAGTTGAAAAGAACCCTATGTCTTATGTTATCTGTTGCATTTTTTTTTCCTCTGAACCGTGTGTTTTTCTAGTGAGTCAGTCTTTATTTTTCTTACAGGAAATACTGACTGAATCATAAGACTAGACTATTTCCATTTTCTTACAGCACATGAGAATGTGCAGCCTTTAATCCTGCAAGACTATGGAAGTTTGTTCTTGGAGAAATCTTTTGTGAGACTGTTTGTTAAAGTGACAATTTTAAAAGCTGCATTTTTTTTCCATAGACTGTTTATACCATGGCTCAGTTTCCCTTCCCACAACTGGCAGAATTAAGGGAGAAATACACGTACAACATTACTCCTTTCCCTGCAGCAGTAAAATCAGCTTCACTTTCAGGGTAAGTTTGAAATGCTCTGCTTATGGCATATAGGGTTATTGTTTACCCGAGACAGATAGTGAAAAGGCAGGTGGCATCCTCCCTTGTAGACTCCTGAAGAAGATAAAGATATTTGGTAATGATCATATTTGAGATCATATTTCTCTTATGTTCTCATTTGACAGAAGGCTAGGCAGAACCAGAGACAGTGATGAGGAGAATGACCTAGATGATGAAGACTCAGTTGCCAATGCGATCGGCTGTCTTGGACCATTAAGTGGATTTTTGGCACCAGAGCTCCAAAAATACCAAAAACAGATGAAAGGTAAAAGTGCTTTTGTTCATTTTGGAAAATGTAGTTAAATCTGCACAATCTTGCAGAAATTGTCTGTAGCTTCCTCTGTGAAAGCTCCTGTGAAAATTCTGCTTTATATTCACATAGAGATTACAGAAGGTACCTAATTACTTGGTCTGTGGTCCGTGAAGTTGTCTTCAAAGTAAAGTCTGAGTGCTGTGTATATACAATAAATGACAGTATGGGTTAAGGATTTGGCTACAGCAGTGGTTAAAAACCAAATCCATAGTGTTGCCCACCCACAAAAAAAGCAGCACATGCATGGAAAAAAGTCCACCCTAAATCCATCCTTATTTCAAAGAAAGCTGTTAGGTAGTCAGCATTTTCAAAAGAATGTACATGTAATAAATAGTCTTGAGCTTTATTAGCATATGCATGGCTCATACTGGAACCTGTCTGCAGTGAGTGAATTCTGTAGATCATTTCACCGCCCTTTTGGCCAAACCTTGAGACTGTTGTGTGTTTTGGGTATATTCACATTTTTATAAAATTGGATGTGGTTTAGGGTGTTCTGACAAAATGTCACTATTCAAACATCTGCACATTGAAATAAAATTTATGACAGAATTGTGTGTTCACCTGTGCAAGCTCTACAGTCAGAACACAATTCTGATCCATACAAGAAAATCTCATAATTTGTTAATTTGCAGCAGCCTTTACAAAATGGTACTGGATCAACAGTGATTTCATGATATCCTGGGACAGCATGTAGTTATTTATTCCCAGCCCACTCCCACCTTCCCCCCAAAAAAACCCCAGACTGATGTAACAGTCGCTGCTATCTGATTACACATCATCGTTCTTGTGGCTTGGTTTTGCTGAGACATATAAGCTGCAATTTTCCTCTTAATTGCTGTGGTGTTTTGTTTTTCCCTTCCTGAGGGACTGTGAGTCTCTACCTGCTGCTTCATGCTAGCACATAGTCAGAACATCAAACTGCTGTTGCAAACTAAGCCAAAGACGACAAATAAACATCCCTTGAAAAAGAATTATCCCCTTGACCCTGGAGTGTCAGTTTGGTGGTGCATCAGAAACAGCTGTGAAAATAAGTTGTGCTGCTGCTGTTGCTGTGCAGCTTTTGGTCAGAGATGCTCTCAAGTTGCCTGGTCCTCAGCTGCTCTGCACTATCCCTTTTGTTGCTACTAGCAACTTTCACCCTGCGATGCTCTGTTTTTTGATGCTTCTTGCTGGTACCACTGGGTTGGTTGTTTAATCTCATGCCTGCTTGACTGTAGTGTCTGGCATTGTTAGCCTGCTCTTTGACCGATTGAGTGTCTTTAATAATAAGTTCCTGAATTACTTTAGTAACAGCTTGATGTAGTTTTGGGTAACTGAAGAACTGTGCTTATCACTTTGCATTGCTATGTTAATTGATTTTTGTGCTCTTTAAACTCCCCTCAAACCCTTGCTATTCTTAAGCAGTAGTTCTAGAAATGTAACACTTCTTTTTATAAATAGTACAGCTTTGTTAAATATGCATATTATAATACATTTTTAATTAAAGACTACAGTTAAATAAGACTGTAGGAATCATACCTAGACTTCCCTTGTAGATAATCTGTGAAACTCTTGAGGATGCCAGTTTACTCCTCATCTCCACTTTATTCCCACTCTGTACAGATCAGAATGAAGAACAAAGTCTGGGTTCCAGTAACATTGCAGAATTAAGTCCAGGAGCAATAGACTCGAGCCGAAGCGAGTATCATGCCGCTTTTAACAGCATGATGATGGAGCGTATGACCACGGATATTAATGCACTGAAAAAGCAATATTCCAGGATAAAGAAGAAGCAGCAACAGCAGGTTCACCACGTGTATATCAGAGCAGGTAACATACCAAAACATGCTTCACTTACTGGTTTATTACAAGCTAACTTCATCCTAGGAGACAAGACAAATAACATTCCTTGACGTTTGACCAAATAGACAAAACAAGAGAGACTGATGGAATATATAACACATCAGCAGTAAAATGGGTACCACTTCATACAGAGAGATTGGAAATAAGAAGATGATGTTTTTTCTTCTTTTGTCAGGATCTGAAGATGACGACCCTGGGATTTTTTTAGGTCCCAGGGACCAGCTGAACAATGGTATTTAAAAGTGTCTTTGCTATCTGGGTGCATTGTGTTGATCTCTCTGATTAAAAACTTTAAATCTTTGGCATTCTTGGAACTGACATACTGATGCACTGGCAAGTGAAATGAGGAGATGAGTACACTTTAGATCAAGTGGCAGGTAGCTTCCTAGCTGGTCCATATTATCCTAACTCCTCTGAGTTCATCCAGTTGTGGCAAATTATGCAGCTGAAGAACTGGCTTAGATGTTCCGTTGTGGCTGACAGTTTGCCTAGCCATGATGGCATTGCTGTGAGGATTGAGCTGAACATCAGTCCATTGTTTAGCAATCCATGTTGCAGAGCCTATTTCCCCAACTGGCAAACTCAACAACGCAGGGGTCAGTGTGAACAGCGCAGCTGAAGGTTTTAGTGCATGGGCAAGCTGAACGCAGCCCACCCCACTCATTCCTCCCTACTTAGGTGTCGTCTTTCTAAAGCAGCATGGAACCATGCAGATGGGTCACTGGAGAATTTTTATTCCTCTTCTACATTGTCTAAACTTGTCCTAGCCATGAACATTTGATCTTAAAGGTCTTTTCCAACCTAAATGGCTCTGATTTGAATACACAGATCTTCAACCTTTCATGAACGTTATTTGTAAGGAATTTTTTTTTTTATTAAATATTGGCAAAGTATTTGCTTTGAACAAAGGCTGTAGCCAGCAGAAACAGTGCAAACAGTAAAATGTTGATTCCCAAGGATTGCCAACCCCCACTCCCCAAACACCATCCTTTCTAATCTTACTAATCACAGTGTGGGGCTGGGTTTGTGGTTTAATCAAACTGTCATCTAATTACCTAATTCTGAGTCTACTGTTCTGGTTTAATTAGAGGACCTAATAGAAAAGAGTTGGTACAGATTATCCATTAAAAATAGTGGTTCATCATCTAGTCACACAAGCTTCATAAAGAGGCTTATTTGACTGACCTTGTTTAGGGACTAAATTACCTCTTGTGGTTGAAAGAGAAATTAAGGAGAAGGGAAGATCAGAAGACAATATTAATGGTAAACTATCAGTTACAGTGCAATTCCAAAAACTGAGAAACTGTTTTTGTTACGATTTATTTTCATAGTATTCCTGGCTCAAATCTTATCCATAGGTCAGAAGCAGGGAGGGAGGACAGAAAATCTTTATTATAGAAGTTACAGCTTTGTGTTTGACTCAAAGATGTTAAGAGAAATTCAGTGTTTAGTTTTGGGGTTTTTTTGGTTTTGTGGGTTTTTGGTTTTTTTTTTAAGTAGAAGTCAGTCCTATAAACCTTTCTGTATCTCAGGAGAGGCATCAAATTTGGTGGTGGACCCTTAGAACATTAAGTTGTTTTGATCTTTAACAATACTGTGTTTCTTTTAAACACTTTCTTTCAGACAAAGGGCCAGTTACCAGCCTCCTCCCTTCTCAGGTAAACCATTCCCCGGTGATAAACCATCTCCTTTTAGGAAAGAAGATGAAATTAAATAACAGGTCTCTCAAAAATGCTATTATTCACATCCCAAGTCATGCTACAGGGAAGATGTCTCCCATTCCCCAAGAAGATCTTAAAACAAAACTGAACTCTCCATGGCGCACTCACATACGAGTTCATCGAAAAAATATTGCTAGGGCCAAAGGCCAGCTGGGCTATGGGGATACCATAGGACTGATAGATGAGCAGAGCGAGAGCTGTAAAACAAATAGTCCTGGTGCAAAGGAGGAGACTTCAAAACATTCTGGTGTTGGAGAAAGAGAAGAAGGTGGTTTGGATGACAGGACTACTCGAACAGCTGACCAGCAGTCATCTGAGCCAGGCTCTACGGACAGCAGTACAAACCTATCAGTGGTTCAGCTAAAACTGGAAGCACTGGAACTCACCTCAGATAACAAAACCGATGCTGAGTCAACATCCCATCAGTCCAGCCAGCCACGTTTATTGGAGTCCTCCAGTTCATCCAGCGACAGTGGAAACCTGGCTAAATCTCCCCAGCCTGGGAACCCAAAACCGCAAGTCTTCAATCCTTTTCCCAGTGTCAAGCCCCTTCGAAAGTCAGCTACAGCCAGGAATTTAGGGCTGTATGGCCCCACTGAAAGAACGCCAACTGTACACTTCCCACAAATGAGCAGAAGTTTTAATAAGTCTGCCAGTGGCAGCAGTGGGACCAGGAAACGATGATGTACTACCTGGCACTTTCTATTTATCACAAAAAATTTGTATTGAGGTTGTTTGTTTGTTTGTTTGTTTTTTAATGTGTGCGTGTGTATGCGTGTCCCAAAGCATTTCTAATCTTCAATTAAGTAACGGGAACAAAAGTGGTTACCAGATGTATAAATATGTGTCTTTGAAAATTGTGCTCCTGTGTTGTTATGGGATAGATTAGTGAAGCTGCACTCTGGCACGCTGTTTTCAATTCTGATGGTTCTGTGGTAAAATAAACACGATTTGCAGTGTGAAGCATACCATTTCTTTAAATCTAACTCAGACATAAAATCACCGACTGCCTTTAACCCCTCAGCCCCCCGTGGCTGCCTCCCGTCTCTTTTCAAAGCTGGACAGACAAATTGTCTGGTGCAGCAGATGCATGTCACACTTTTTATGGCTGTTATGCAGCTTCCCCGTTCGACCTCATCATCACGCTCTGTGAGTAGCTGGAGAAGCCATGACTAACAGAAGCACAAGCAGCCCTACCAATCAAAAGTGTAACTTTGTGTCTGACATCACTGCTTACCTACTGGGCCGTCTGGCTTCAGACATTCTTGAACAGCATTTTGTGCTTCTCTTCTCACAGCAGTCCTCTGCTGATAACTGTTTTTAATATAAATGCAATCACTGAGCATGTGAATAGCAGGATCCACAATGCTGGTTTGCTCCTTTTCTGATGTATGTACATGGATACACTTCTGTTACTTACTGCTGGAGAGCTGCAGCACTGCAAAATTGGGAATTGGGTACAACTCTATGTGTAGTTACATGATTATTATGGCACATCCTGGTTTCAGTGGATTTAAAAGCAATTCTCTAGGTTACAGACTTGTAGTTAAATAATATTTTCCATCTTAGCAGTAGGTAAAATATATGAATGTTCAGAGTAGCTTAGGGTTTAAAATTCTATAAATGGAGCAATTAGATACTTAGGGTGCCACTTATTAAAAGCCAAGACATCAGCCCATGTGTAAGTGGAATGGACCCATGGGACTGCTGTGGACTTCCACGGCTTGGTTCTGGTTCGGTGTGACAGAGCAATGGCAAAGCAGTAAGCTGAGTATTTGCTTCCAAATCAAAAAGCAAAGCTGGTTAATACCATATGACAAGTACTCCCCCTCACCTTGTATGCATTAAACAGGCAGGCAGAGAAACTAAGTGTGAACAACTCAACTTCAGGCTTGTAAAATCAAGCACTCAAAAAGATTCAAGTTGCTCTTAATTCGGCAGAGCTGTAATATTTTTTTATGTATTGACTGTGATTCATTCCCTGACTGTTTTTAGGTTTCCCATGACATGAAAGTGCCAGTATTTTAAACAGGATTAAAAGCTGTAATGATGAATTAACCCCATTGTATGTAATATCTTACTTCCTCTTTTAAATTTTTTTAAATTTGCAAATTAATATATCTTTGTCTATTTATAATGTGTCCCATAACCTATGGGATGTGATATCGGTTTTACTGTATAGCATAACTTATAAGCTGTACAATATACCCTGTTTATTGCTGTGGGGACAGTTTTATTTTGTTGTTGTTTTATACAAGTGTATGCATATAAAATAATAGATAAGTATGAATACTATAAATATAAAACTGCTGTAGATCAGATCTTGCCCCTGCCTTATTCTTAGGTTATAGTGGTGTTGTCACTAATTGTTATTTATAGCACTGAGTAAATTTAAAATAATGTAGAATTTAGTCACTGATCATGGACTATATGAGAATTGTTTCTGCCTTGATTTAGAAGAAATGGACTTCTCAAAATTCTACTGTGAATCATTCTCCCCATGTTTTCTTAGCTTCAGTGTGTCACGCGGCTGTATACTGAGCCAGTAAAAATAAAATTACTATCATTCTGTAAAAACTACCGAGATGTGACAAGTATGTGCATGAATTTTCAACGCGTTAAGATGTGATGAAGCAATGGAAAATTAGCAAGCTTTGCACAGATAGTGGTTTGGGAAAAGGAATGCAAATAAAATACTAATGCTAGCAATTCAGACTGAACCAGTAATTGACGAGCATGCTCTGAGGGACTTGTACTTTACTTGGACGTTAGCATTGAGGCAGAGGAACCATGGCAACTCAGTGCATTAGTTTGATGCTGTTTGCTGCAATGAATTGTCTTTAAGTACTGCTAGATGAGAAAATTGAATGTAATTTTGGCTGTTTAGTACCTCAAAGGATGTTCGCTCTCTACTTGAAATCTGTGTTGAACACGGCAAAAGCAACTTGGTACTGAGGTGGAACATTAAAACGAAGTTCCAGAGATCCAGGAAACTCCAGAGAAGTTTCCTTTGTTCCCTAAAGAATCCCTTCGGCAAACAAGGTCTGGTGATGCCACTGTGCTCAGAAGAGTAGCACTGCAGCACTGGGGACCTTGGGAAGCACGGTGGTGGGTCTCTGCTGCAACGAGCTCTGCATTTTGTTCTCCTTGAGGCCTCCTTGTACTAATGCTCTCTTCCATGCAACTGAATGACCTTTGTGGTTTTTTGGTTGGTTTGGTTGGTTGGTTGGTTTTTTTTAAACTCCTTGAGTCTTTTTTGATAAAGTATTTTATTAGGGTCTATTTGACTTTTATTCTGAGAATGCATTTCAACATCATCCAATGGGAGTTCTCAAGGGATGGACATTTGATTTAGTTTTCAGGATGCTTGCAGTCCTGCAAGTGGAAACAGGTCTGAAGCTATTCTGAGATTATTCAAAATAGTCTATGCTTTAGGGGTAGAAATGGTAGATGTCAGAAATCAGTTTTTATGAATTTGAGGCAGCAAACAGTTGATTTCATTCACAGCTGCAGCTAGACAAAATACAATTTGGTATACTTGACAAAAGTAATACCAGAATCCATTCAAAATATGGAAGTTGTTGCTCGAAAGGCAATAAAACAGTATTTCAAAGAAAAATAAAATGCAGCCCTTTGCTATTTTAAATGATGTAAAAGTTAAAAGTTCAAAATTTGAAAAGAGATTTTTAATCTGTTTCAAACCTCTACAACATGTATTTTGAACCACATTAAATGGTTCACATGGAAGTAAGGTGGGTGGTTTCACCATTTTGTAGTTTTCCTTGACCTTGCAATGAGTTACCTGGTACCTGTCTACAGGTAGCGGTCATACCTGGCTGAGTGGCAGGCAGACAGTGTCATCATCTGACACCAGCTCCACCGAAGCATGAAGAGACAAAAATTTGTCCTAATGGATCCCTGTCCTTGTTTTGCTTTGTTTGCTCCAGTTTTACTCACTCTTTGTTGGAGGAAGATTCATTCAAGGCAGGGGGTTGTCATGGAGCCCTGTGAGTGATTCGAGATGTGCAGTTGTCGCTGATGAGCACCTTCAGCCCATGTGTCATTAGCTAGCAGGGACTGGGTGGGTGACTGGTTTCTCCAGCACCCAGAACCTGCTGTTTGGGTACCTCTGCGTTGGTGACAGCATCCTTGGGAAGGTGTACTTCTCTGGGAGGGTCGTGTGTGGGAAAGATGGATCCACACACTGCAGCATACAGCACTTACTGCCTCACTGCAGGTTCAAAAAACCCTCACAAATGTTTCCAAGTCTTTTTCTGATAAAACCATATCCAACCACACTGGCTTACCACAAATAAGCAGGCAGGCATGGTGGTGACATGCAGGTGATGTATGTGGATGGTGAGGTTGGGAGGAGGGAGGGAGTAACCCAACCAGGCAAAAAGTGCAAGAAGTTTTGAGGGAAAGCAAACTCCTGGGTGCCTGTGCTTCTTTTTAGTTTGTTTGTTTATAAACAACAAATCAAAGGATCAGATCCATGATGTGCTGCTCTCTGCCCATCCTTTATGTGGTCAAAGTGATCCTGGATTTGCCTGATGCCAGTGAGAAGCCACATCCTGTGACGTTGTTGTCCACCCCTTCGGTAGCCCAGCAGTTGCTCCCAGCCTGTCCCTGCAGGCCGGAGATGCCAGCAGGGAGCCCTCTGATGTGGTTCACTGCGGCTCAGTTTGCACAGTGAGCCCTCAAAAAGACAGCAAACGCTCAAATCCGAGCCAAGGTAGAACATGCTCTCATTGCTGGCACACCTGACTTCTCTTGGCCTCTGCTCTGAGCCAGCTCTGCGGGAAGGGGAGTCATGGAACCAAGGCTGGCAATATCCAAGAAGCATTTGGACAGCACCCTTACACACATGGTCTGAATCTTGCGACCGTCCTATGCTAGGGCAAGAGTTGGGTTCAATGGTTCTCGAGGGTCCCTTCCAGCTCACAACATTCTATGATTCTATGAGGACATTGCTGCATAAGTAGGCTGGTAAGTGTTGCTAACTGGCAGGTGTGCCAGCCCATTGCTGGATGGAGGTGACCGTTGGCATGCTATCTGCGGCTCTGCAATGTGGAGCTGGCTTTGCAAGCCTGTGTGTGCTCAGAGCAGGGCTTGTATCCATCTGCAGGGACCTGGCGGATGGATGCGCTGCTCAACCCGCAGCAGCGCCTGGATGTGATGATCCTCCATGTCTGGTTTGTCAGCAGCAGCCCTGCTGCTCTGGTGGAAAGGGCTGCTACACAATGTGTTGCTCACTCTCTCCTTCTCTCAAGGGTGTGTACATTTTTTCATTGTCACTTGTTGGTTTTCTGATGTTTTATAACTGTTGGTGACACAGGGAAATTTTTTGAGCAGCGCCTCTTATATTGAATACTGGAGCAAGAGAGACGGAGGTGCTTCCTACATCACAGTGCTCAATAGGTTTTGCAGCTGTTCCTGTCTACGTTTGGCTTATGCTTTCCCTTTGTGAACCCCCAGCCCTTGCTCAAGTTCATTGACTGTGTGTTTGATAAGAGTTTTTAGGAAGATAAGGATAGCCATGCTGGTCTGTGTCCTGGTTTTGTCTGGGGTAGAGGTAATTTCTTCTTAGTAACTAGAATAGTGCTGTGTTTTGGTTTCAGTATGGGATTTGGTATGAGGAGAATGTTGATCATATACTGATGTTGCTGCTAAGAAATCAAGGACTTTCCAACTTCCCATGTTTTGCTGGTC